CAAGAAATATTCCCTGCTCAGGGCCATGCCAGAAAATTCCCTTTTCTTCTTCTTCTTCTGCAGCAGCAGCAACAGCAATGCCCCTGGCTGAGGATAATTCAAGACTTTGGTACTCAAAGGGACCTCAGGCTGCATCTGCACTGCAGAAATAATGCAGTTTGATGCCACTTTAAACACCATGGCTCCATGGCTACGGCATATAGATATTTGCACTTTGGTGGTGCTCCAGAGCTCTCTGATAGAGAAGGTTAGCTATCTCACAAAACTACAAATCCCATTGAGCCATGGCAGTTAAAGCAGTGTCAAATTGCATTATTTCTACAATGCAGATTGAGTTTGGTTTTCCAAACAAGGAAGGTAAGGGTGGGTAGAGCTAAAAAGCACCAAAGGAAGAGAAAGTTTTAGGAAATGTGCATCCTCACATATAAACCTGCCCATGTTATGGGTCTGGAAGTCCCTTCCCAGAGAGATAAGACTGGAGCCCTCCTTGCTATCTACCGGTATCTTTCCACAGGCAGGTGAAGACCTAATAGTTTTGGCTGAGGACTTAGAAAAGAAAAGAGATTACAAGAAAAGAGATTCCACCTAAACATTAGGAAGAATTTCTTGACCATAAAAGATGTTCAACAGAGGAACAGACTGCCTTGGATGGAGATGGTGGGCTCTCTGTCTTTGGAGGTCTTTAAACAGAGGCTGGATGGGCATCTTTCAGGAATTGTGTCTTCCTGCATGGCAGAATAGGGTTGGACTATATGGCCCTTGGGGTCCCTTCCAACTCTATGATGGTCATCACTACCACCACGGCCAACATCTCAGGATGAAATTTCTCCTTTTATTTTAAAATGACGAATGCCAAGATCCTCTGCAAGATGAATTCTCCATCCCAGCCTCCACTCCACACTCCGGAAGCATCTCTGCAAAGCCCAGACTTTTGCTTTCCAAACCAGCAACCTCAACATGTTATGAAGAGGTCATTTGGGGAATTCTCATCCTAATGAGACCTCAAGGTAGGAGCAGGGATTTCCCCCACCTTTTCTTAGTCCCTTTGTGGTCATCAAATTAAAAATAGAAGGGAGAGTTCTCAATGACAGACCAGTGACCTTATTGCTGAGCCATGCAAGAGAGCTCTAATAATGTGAACAACAAGCACTGTTGGGTCTCAGTAGCCCAAAGCCCTTTTGGGGTTTGTTTAGGGTAAATACACACAAGCACACACATGCACATATATAAATATATACATATATTATTGTTTTGCTCTGAAACAGGCTGTTAGGTAAGAGCTTACTGCTGCTCCTGATTGAACTCCCCGGTTGCAGAACCTTAGCCAAAGAATTGCCAATAATGAAATTCAAGGAATGAGGACAAACCGTGCGGGAAAGCATTTAAGCGGCCTGGTTCGCCATGGCCCCGAGGAAGCAATTTAAAAATGCACAGGGCCCCTCCCGTCGGAAGAGAGCCATTTGCATCAACAAAAATAACTGGGAGAGCAAGCCAAAGTTAGGATGTTGCTTCCTCTTCTGCATCCGCACTGCAGAAATAACCTGGTTTGACACCACTTTAACTGCCATGGCTCACAATGCGGTGAGAGTCTGGGGATTGCAGTTTTGTGAGATGTTTAACCTTCCTTGTCGGAGAGCTCTGGTGCCACAACTACAAATCCCAGGATTCCATAGCACTGAGCCATGGCAGTTAAAGCGGTGCCAAACTGGATTATTTCTGCAATGCAGAAATGGATAGATTAATAGGGCAAGAAAAAAATTGCATCTACAAAAACGACTGGGAGAGCAAGCCAAAGTTAGGATGTTTGACCCACTCTGAACAAATCGTGCCAAGAAAACCCCATGATAGGACTGTTGTAAGTCGGAAACAACTTGCACACCACCACCACCACAATGCCATTTATGAAGATATTGCAGATGGGGTTTTCATGGGAAGCCAAGCTAAGCAATTTGTTCTCCTTTGTTTTCCTTGCTGCACACTGGGAATGCAGTCCAAAAACCAGATCCTCTGACATAGAAATTGGAAAAGGAGCCATCCTGAGGAATTGTCCCATCTTTGATTTGCAAGCAGATAGGAATAATTTGTTACTGTGTGCTTTCAAGTCGTTTCTGACTTAGGGCGACCCTAAGGCAACCCTCTCCTGGGGTTTTCTTGGCAAGATTTGCTCAGAGAAGGTTTGCCATTGCCTCCACATCTGAGGCTGAGAGAGTGTGACTTGCTCAAGGTGGTGACCAGTGGGCTTCACAGCCGAGCTGGGAACCGAACCCTGGTCTCCAGAATCGTAGCCCAACCCTCAAACCACTAGCCACGCTGCTTACCTAAAATGACGAGGTGGGTGGCACCGTCCTCGTTGCCCAAGGGGTAGGTGGCGAACTCACAGATATAGGTGCCCTCATCCGTCATGCGCAGAGGGTTGATGACCAGTGTGGCGTCTCCCAGGGAAGGCGTCCGGAACCGGATATGGGTCCCCTCCCCGTTCATTGGGTAGCTGGGTCCGAGCTCCGGGTGGTAGACGGCCACGTTCTGCTTCTTCCCGCCGGCCTCCTTCCCCCAAGTGACCTGGCTGACCTTGATGTTGGGGGTCGACATCTCGAAGTTGCAGGGAAGGACCACCTCTTTGCCCAAGTAGCCAGTGACCTCATCGAGAACCTTCACCCTCTGGGCCAGCAAGACTGGAAAGAGGAAAGCAAGACCAAGTTGAGACACTGGCCCCTCCATAGTTTCCACCCAGATGTGCAAATCCCCCTTTGCATGGTCACCTCCTGCCAGGACAGGATGGCGTTTCATGGACTGCAATTGCACCATTCAAGTCCAAAAAAGTAACTTGTCCAGGCCCTAGCTCTGGCTATTAAGCAATGCACAGGCATGTTTCACAACAGCTGGATATTTCAAATCTCCTTACACATAGAAATTGTTCCTACAATAAGATGGATATAGATATTAATACAAATGTGTTTACATATTATAATGTGTTAATTTGAGAATTGTTTAATGAATGAGGTAGCATACTTACTTTGGAAGAACTATGGAAGTTTTTATTTGTTAATATTTTGTATAGATTGAGTATATACTGATGATACAAGGAATGTATATAATGTATATATATATATAAAATCAATTAAAAAATTGTTCCTACAGAACCATGGCTCCCAAATTTTGTGCCTACAGATGTTTTGGACTTCACCTCCCAGAAGTCCCAGCTAGCTTGGCCAACAGTCAGGAATTCTGGGAGCTGAAGTCCAAAACAAGTGGAAGACCAAAGTTTGGGAACCACTGCATATGGAAGGAATCCAAGCTGCTGAAATTTGTTCTCCTTGGTGTTCACACAGAGGTGCAAATCCCTCCTTCTTGCAATCTGGGAACTGCAGTCCAAAAAACAACTTTTCCAACACTGAAAATGGAAAAGAAGCCAACGTGAGGAATTGGTCCACCTTTGATTTGCCAGCAGATGTGCAAATACTTCTTTACCTTGTTTTTTTTTTTTTTTTGGATTGCAATTCCCAGAATCCCCCAGCTAGCAAGTGGTAGAGTCGTCTTCTTTTGAACAGAGGTTGGATGGCCATCTGTTGGCAGTGCTTTAACAGTGTGTTCCTGCATGGCAGGGGGTTGGCTTGGATGGCTCCTTGGGGTCTCTTCTAACTCTAGGATTTTATGGTTCTAGGACTCTTCCTCCTTGCCCTGAGGACTGGAGAAGAGTGTCCAGGCCCTGAGATTTGGCAACCCCAGGGAGGGGACCAGCTCACTTCAATCCATTTTGCAAGAAACTAGTTAAAAGGACTTGTTCCTCTCTGCCACACCAAAGTGAGTCCCACTGAATCGCCGACTGTCAGGTTCAGGTTAGCGGGAGCCTTTTGGAAATCCCAGGTTGCTGGGAAAAAGCGCTTTGGCAACCGCCAGCTTGACAGATGAAGGATCTTTTCCAACAGGCAGGCCATGAATAAGTAAAAGGAGGAGAGTGCGTAGTTTGCAAAGTACGGTCACACTCGGCCTCTGGAGGGTAAGGCACATTCGAAGGACTTACGCCGACCGAGGAAGCAAGAGATGTACATAAAATGTGCCCATGCACACACAAACACTGGGGACGCTTAGCACCAGCCTTTGGGATGCCTGGGTTACAATAGCAAATTAAGCCGTGCTCCATTTAATGCACACCCCTGTGCCCATTTTGTTCGGAGCACTCAACGGCTAAACGGTGAAAATGGATGCTTCCCCCAGGAACCCCAAAGCAGCCCCAGAGAGAGACGGGGGAGAATCAGCCAAACTTGGACTCTCTTAAGATAGCAACCCTCTAGCCTTCTTCTCCATAGAGAAACTATGATGGATCCAATCTCCAGGTTGGCCTGGTTGTTGCAACACTTGGGGTCTTATGGTGGCATCACTAGGGTTGGTGTCACCCGGTGTGGGGCAGTTTTAGCAGCAGACAACTCTGCCCCATTTATCTCCGTCTGCTTCACCCACCTAACCAGACCTGGAAGGACCCAGGTGTGAGGACCCATAAAGGAAGAAAGGCAAGGCAAGGCAAGGCAAGGCAAGGCAAGGCAAGGCAAGGCAAGGCAAGGCAAGGCAAGGCAAGGCAAGGCAAGGCAAGGCAAGGCAAGAAGGAAGGAAGGAAGGAAGGAAGGAAGGAAGGAAGGAAGGAAGGAAGGAAGGATGGATGGGACAATGCTCTGCAATGAGGGCATCTTCACCTGTTTTGCAAAGTTGCCCTGGCTGTTGGGAAGAGGGGCAGCGGTGGTGGGAGGGGGTTGATGACGATCAGCCACCCCAATGCATGTTCACCCCTTTGGGCATTCATCCAGTGCGGTCCACAGCCCTTGCACCCCCTTAGTTACACCTCTGGATCTTATCCCTTCTTGTTGTTTGCCTTCAAGTCCTTTCCAACTTATGGAGACCCTAAGGAGACCCTATAATGGGGTATCCTTGGCAAATTTCTTCAGAGAGGGTTTGCTCTTGCCATCCTCTGAGGCTGAGACAGTGTGACTTTCCCAAGTGGGTTTTCATGGCCGAACCGGGATTCGAACCCTGGTCTCCAGAGTCGTAGCCCAACACTTAAACCACTATGCCATGCTGGCTTTTATACCTAACCTTGCCCTTAAGAAACCTCCCTGGATCTGGTATTTGGACCTCAAGGAGACCCCTATACTGGACAAGTTTATGTGTTTGTTCATTAGGTGGTAAAAAGCGTGTCCAAACTCTCCTTATCAATTCTTAAGTGAAAACATTTACAGAAAATAAGACCAGTAAAGCTGTAAACAGGTAGGTTAAACATGCCGCGAGTCTGTGCAGTGCAGAGATCCGAGTGCTGGACTAGGCGCAGGGTTCGAATCCTCATTTAGCCATGGAAACCCCCCAGACAACTTTGCACAAAGTCACACTCCTCTCTCTCTCTCTCTCAAGAGCCTCGGAGGAAGGGAATGGTGAACGTTTTTCCAGGCGAAGGCAACTTCCAAAACCCTCCAGGCGGCCTGGGCACACTCTCGCCTTGGCACACCCATCTCCCAACCTGCCTTGCCAACCAAAAATCCTACAGAACTGGCCAATCTTGAATTGACTTCAACACAGTCCTCCCAGCGGGTGAGGCCAAGGAGGCAAGGCCCAGGCAGGCTGCGTTCATATTAATAATAGAAGTACTTAGTATTTACATTGCTCAAAGCACTTCACATATATGATTATCTTCGTAATCCTCACAATAAGCCAGTAGATAATGCTGACCTATCATCCCCATATTGCAGCGTGGAGGAGAAGGGGGAGAACCGAGGCTAAGGGGCATGTGGTCTCTTTGGGTTCATGGCCGAGCTCCAAATACAGAGAGAGATTTCCAAAGCCGGGACTCCCAGATCCTAACGGTTCTGCTCCACGAACGCTGCAGAGGTGTGTGCCGCACATAATGTTTATGGGCAGATTTATCATGCATGCTTTAGGCTTCCTAATAATATGCCAGCGGGATTAAGGAGTGTGTAATTCTAGAGTTTAAAATCTCTGGGTTCTTTCTCTGTTGTTGAAAATACTCAGTTCTGCAAGCTTTCTGCTAGGACACGTCTCAGGCTAAGAGGCTCCATATTAGGACTGCGTTCTTCCTCTGTCCTGCTCACAAAAAAAAGACAGAAACATATGAAGTTCAGGAGTGATACTGCAGTCTGTGTGGGCCTAAATACCCTACAGGCACCAGATCCTGTCTGATCGTGGAAGCTAAGCAGGGTCAGCCCTGGTTAGTCCTTGGATGAGAGACCACCAGGAAGGTCCCATAGGCTATACAGTTGTCCCTCCCCACAGACAGAGTTTAGGTTTGCGGGGAAGGACAACAGCTGTACCTTAAATGATTGCACACATGCCATGGGTGCATGCACCATTAGTTTAAATGGGGCTCAAATATTAGTGGGGGGGTCCAAAACAAGTCCCCCGTAAATTGGGAGAGGCAACTGTATTTCAGAGGAAGGAACTGGCAAAAGCACCTCTGGGTATTCCTTGCCTAAGAAAATCCTATAAAATTCATGGAGTCACCATAAGGCAAGAGACAACACACACAACACAAACACATGGCACAAAATCCTATATGATTTTGGAAGCTACGCAGGGTCAGCCCTGATGAATGCTTGGATGGGGGACTGTCAATGAATCCCAAATACTGTAGGCAATATTTCAGAGGAACTGGTAAAACTATCTCTGTGGATTCATGCCTAAGGAAAACCTATTAAAAATCCCTATTGATCCCTATGAAAAATCCATGGGGTCACCATAAATCAACAGGTGGCTTGAAGGCACATACACACACACAGTAGAAGATCCACTGAAATAGCCTAAAGGCTTCCAGATCTGGGATGGTAAGGGTCACAACATGGTCAGTCTTTGGATGGAGACCTCCAATGAACACCAGTCTGCTATCCTAAAGTCTGGACGGCATGGAAAAGAAACAAGAAGAGAAACAACTCATTTTTGAAAATGTGGGGATGTATACCAGAAACTGCTAAAAGACAAATTAATGGACCTAGAGGATATTAAGCCTGAACTCTCACTAGATACCCACATTACTATGCTGAGACTACTATTTTTGGACTTATCATGAGAAGGTATGACTCATTAGAAAATATGGTAATGCTTGATAAACTGGAAGGGAGTAGGAAAAGATGACTATCACATTATAGGTGGATAGACTCCATCAAGGAAGCCACAAAGGCTGCCCTGAATTTGCAAGACCTGAGCAGGGCAGCTGAGGTCAGGGTGACTTGAAAGACTCTCATTCATATTGTTGCCGTAAGTCAAAACTGACTTGACAGCAGTTAAGTACAAATCCGAGGGTCTTCTTGGCAAGAGTCATTCCGAGACGGTTTGCCAAAATTGCCTGAGGATGAGAGAGTGTGACTTGCCCAAGGGCAGCCAGTGGGTTTCCAGGGCTGAGGAGGGATTCGAACCCTGGTTCCCCACACTTTCAATACAAATAAAATCTCTCTCTCTCTCTCTTGCAACTCCAGCCTTTTCAGCTCCAGCCGCCTCTTCCGGGGGGACCCCGGCCGTACATCTTGTACAACAACTTTCCAGACATGTTCAGGTACACAGCAGCATTAGCCCAGACAAGCAAAAATACACCTCCAGCTCTCTGGCCATCAGGGGGAAGAAGCAACAAGGAAAGTTTGTGCTCATCCCAAGGCGAGATGTTGGAGAGGGGAAGGTGGAAGGAAAGAGATGAACACCGGAGCTAATCAGCTCTTCACACTTCACAGCCCAGCAGAGACACAGAGGGAAACCTTGCCAGCCATGCAGGCGGCTGCTATCAAACCCCCAATTGCTAAATTGCTTAAAAGGAGACTTCAGTGCAACCCGGCAGTCCTAGTTTCACAAGATACAAGTGCACACATGCTACACAAGTTGAGTCTCCCTTATCTGGAATTCCCATATCCAAAATACTCCAAAATTATCCACATGGGTGGTCGAGAGACAACTTTACTCTCTGATGGTTCAATGCATACAAATGTTAAATCATGCACAAAAATATTTAAAACATAGTGTATAAAATTACTTTCCGGCTATGTGTATATGGCGTGTTGTTGTTTTGTGCCTTCGGGTTGTTCCCAACTTAGGGCAACCCTAAGGCAAACCTATCCTGAGGTTTTCTTGGCAAGATTTGTTCAGGGGAAGTTTGTCATTGCCTTCTTCCCCTGAGGCTGAGAGCAGATGACTTGCCCAAGATTGTGGGTTTCAAAGCCAAGCTGGGAATTGAACCTTGGTCCCCAGAGTCATAATCCAACACTCAAACCCCTATGCCATGCTGGTTCTCATATACAAAGCATAAATGAATTTTATGTTTAGATTCTGGTCCCATCTCCAAGATAATGCAATATGTAAATGCAAATATGGTGGGCCCTTGGTATCCTCTGGGGTTTGGTTCCAGGATCCCTGTGGATACCAAAATCCATGGATGCTCAAATCTCATTAAATACAAAGGTGTACTAAAATGGTGTCCCTTATATAAAATGGCAAAATCAGTTTTGTTTTGGTTGTGGGTTGTTGTTGTTGTTGTTGTTGTTATACTTTAAAAATATTTTCAAACCATGGATGGCTGAATCTGTGGATAGGAATCCGTAGGTACAGAGGGCACATTGTACAATGGCATAGTAAAATGGTGTCCCTTATATAAAATGGCAAGATCAAGGTTTGTTTCTTAGAATTTATACTTTTAGAAAATATTTTCAAGCTGTGGATGCTTGAATCCGTGGACAAAACGTCCGTGGATAAGGAGGGCCGACTGCATTCCAAATTCCAAAAACAAAAAACAAAACAAAACCCAAACTTCCAAAATCCAAAACACTTCTGGTCCCAAGCGTTTTGGATGAGTGAGACTCAACCTGTATTGCTTCTTCTGTAGCAAGCGCTTTCTCTCTCTGTATGTGTGTGTTATGAGTGTGCTTAGGATTTTAAGCTCCATTTTGCCGGGAGAATTTGGGGCAGGGTAAAAGCTCCTGTTGACAAAAGCCGCCAACACAGCAGATTTGCCCGAGTCCCATCTGACGTTATCAAGCGGGCACCAAAGACTTTGGAACAATGGGTTGCATTATAGAGCTTTGTTGCAAAGCAGCCTGCGAAAGGGGAGACGGGACATTTCCCAGCCACAGACTCAGGAAGGGATGCAATAGAAAGTGGGTGAGGTTTTGCGAGAAAGAAACCCCGGTAGTAGCTAACACAACTCCCAAAGGTGCAGCCATGGTGAGTGGGGACAAAATAAAACCACTGCCCCCCAGATAAGAACTCAAATCTCCAATGGGTATTTTCCTTCAGTCTTCAAATTTCAGAGCCTCCGTCATTTTGCATTTGAAACTTGGGACCAAGAAACATCAGTGTGTGGTCAAGATGGCAAAAAGTTTTCAATGAAGTTTTGAACACCATACTAGTCTGCAGTAGTTTGCTTTTGCTTGAGTCTACAGGGAATGGCAATCCTGTGCTCCCTTCTCTTCTTTCCATCCTGCTGACTTAACTGGGTGCAAACTACTTTTGTATTTTGAACTCAGTTTGCAGCAACTTAAGGAAGCTGAAGATGAAGTGGGAAAATGGGAGGGAAGAGAGAGAAAAAACGATATACTTTAATAGCAACTGGAGAAGTGGGATGCAAGTTGCATGCACTATAGGGATTCTGCAGAAGTTGTCACTTCTGTGCATAATGGGCAGAGCAGCTG